GAGAGAGAGAGAGAGAGAGAGAGAGAGAGAGAGAGGGAGCGAGCGAGCGAGTGAGTGAGCGATGGAGGGAGGGAGCGTCGTAGGGTGGGAGGGCGAGCGTTACCGAGAGAACATGGTAAGAGTTCCCCTTAGGCGATGATGGGGAGGTCGAAAGGTAGGAGAGCGAGAGAGAAAGAGCGAGCGACGGTACGACGAGAACTCGAGAGTGGCGAGCGACCGGTAGGGGGGAGGCCCGCAGGCCGGCCTGCGGCTTTCGACTCAGTATCCCTCGAGCAAGCGCTTCGTCCGTACCCCGCGGACGTGTAGCTCCGTTCAGCCAGAGCCCCGTGCGCACTGCCGAATACGGAACTGAGCGAATCGGCCGAGATCTGGGTATCGGCAATCCGTCGAGGTCGAACCGCGCAGCGCCGAGTCCTCGCATGTGTCGAGCATCGGAGGAGGCGCCCCAATCGTCACGTCCCATCTCCGTCTAATTCAGCTCCGGGCCCAAGAGCCGAGAGTGAGTGCAGTGAGTGAGAGCAGCCAGTGGTGAGGACGTTTCGGCGCGTAATGAGCCGCCGTCGCCGCGACGCGTAACCCGGTGCAAGAGCGAGTGGAGGAGTCGGTGGAGGAGACCGAGGAGGAGCGACAACGTGTCCCGGGCGCGGTGCCTGGACACCTGTACGCGCTCGGGGGGCTAGGATCGCGATCCCGTGGTTACGGCTGGGGCCCGAGACGGCCTAGAGACGGGCCAGAGACAGGCAAGAGACGACGCGAGAGGAGAGAAGGGGTCACGAGTTCTCCGGGTCAGGTCGCGGGCCAACGGCGGCTGGAAGCCCGAGCCGCGAGAGAGTTCGCCAGGAGGTGGGCCAGATAGAGCTGCTCCAGTGGAGGGGACGAGGACATCAGCTTCGCCGCTCTCATAGCAAACGTCGCCCGCCATCTTCCATGTATCCCCGCAGCCTCCGAACGCGGTGAACGGCTCGTGGATGAAGAAGAGCCGCGGATAGACAGATACACGGATATTATTACGCACGGCTATAGCTAGCTAGACAGTTAGATAAGCGTTGATTAAGTGAGAAGGGTGAGGGAGGAGTGAGTGATAGAGATTTAAAGAGAGAGAGATAGAGAGAAAGAGAGAGAGAGAGAGAGAGAGAGAGAGAGAGAGTGAGTGAGAGAGCGGACGTATCGTGGGAGCGCGGGCGCCGATTTAGCAGCGGCGCTCGTCGTCTGTCCTCGTGCGGCACGGCGAACCTCGGGGCGGATCGCCAGAGCGAGGACGGGAGGAGCCGCTCACGAGAGTGCCATCGTACCGGGAACAAAGGGGCCAGAGGTCGTGCTCTCCGGGCACGCGCCTACCGCCGACGAAGAGGTGCCACAGGTTCACCTGTTGCGCGGCAGGCGCCACGCGAGGTCGCTCGACCGAGAGGGAGGTGGAGGAGGAGGAGGCGGAGGAGGCTCGGGGCGCCGAGCCAGTGCCAGTGCTGGATTTATAAAAGTGCAGTGTGAATTTTTTCCTCGGTAGCTCGAGCGCCGCCGGAGTGCCAGCCGGAGGAGCCGCGAGCGGCAAGAGGAGGGAAGAGGAGCCCCTCCTCGAGGAGTCTGACGAGGAGCGGTTGTGTGGCCGGGCTTTTTTTTTCCTTTTTTTCCATTTTTTTCGCCGCGATCGTTATTTCCGGTCCTCGAGCACGAGCGCCGAGGATAAGTGATTCGGTTGCGGTTGTTGGGGCGCGTACGTGGGTATCCATCTATGCGCCTCGACAGTGAGCCGAGTTCGAGGAGTGTTCTTGGCTTCGACTGCCGGCCGTCACAGGATAGATACTAGGGCGAGACCGAACGGAGTCGAGGATCGGCGTGAGTGATTCATAAGACGTGTGGTGATGCGGTAGTCGCGAGATACCCGAGGGAAGCCATGAGGGCGGCCGCCGCCTACGTCCTGCTTCTTGCCCACCTCATACAGGTAACGCAACGCACAATAAATATCTAATTATGGGAAGATTGTCGCTGGTAATGGGGAGTTGGTATTATTTTGCGGGCCACTCCTCTTTCCATCGCCCACGACGGAGAGTCTCGTTATTTCGAAACTCTTTTGGTTCGGGGGTCTATGGGTATCGAGGATGGCAGTGGACGTACATTAGGTATTGTTGATGATAATTGTATGGGCGCAAAGTCGTATCTTAGCCGGGACACTTTGATGCGGAAGCGCATACGTCATGCATGAAATTCAGCGGGGCGAAGGTTTTGGTGAGACGATAATAAACGATAGCCGTTGAGAAATGAATTACGATTGTAGTTTGTTATCGCAAGTGAAACGATGACGCGCGGTGAGCGTTTAAGGCAACTTGTTGTATATAAGCTCCGAGGTCATAATTGCCGTCGTATTAGGCTTACCAAGGGATAAGAGCTTATGAAACACATTCGTTGCAATTGTTTTTTTTTTTTTTTTTTTTTTTTTTATAAATGATCGACGATGTATCGGCGCTGCCTGAACAGTTGATATACTTATCGGCATTGCGGTATCTTATGGGAAGTCGACAAAATTTAAGCGAAAATCTTATGTTAAATATACTCTATGGTAAGTGATGGTGCCGAGAAGGGAGGCACTTGATGTTTGGCTCGAATGGATAGGACGAGACAGGGTTTAAAATCCTAGCGTACTCCCCACCTTTTTACCCGTGTGTTGGGCCATTTGATGAAAAGTAGCGAGGGAATGGTTGAGCGTGTGCGGGCTCAAGTGTCATAAACGGTCGGATGTTTGGCAACTACGTTTCTAGTGGCGAGGAGTGTCGTAAATGAAAGTACATATGCCAAGAAGCCGAACCAGATGTTTAATTGCAGAGGGATTATCTTCTCCATTCTCGCATAATAAAATTTAAAATATTCCCCCCATGTGGTGCAATTGTGGCAATACTAAATTATATCTTCGAGCTCGGGACTTCGGCACATTTATGCGCCTCTAAATAGAAAGTGTCAGAACAAGTGGATGGGGTAACGGCCAAACATATGCCACCGGATCTGATACTTACTTGCATCTGGTTAAAAGGGAGTATGAGCGCTTAGCGCAATGACGCAAACAGTGTAAAATTACAATTTGAGTCGATTCGCAAGATACTTTCGGCAAATGCTGTTCGCATAATTACTAATCATTAGCATGTAGATTTGACAAGCGTCGGCTCCAATATATTATTAGCTTTAACATAATATTCATTGAAATATAAGATGGAGAGGAGAAAGGATGAGGAGAAGAGGAAGAGGAGGATCAAGAAGAAGAAGAAGAAGAAGAAGAAGAAGAAGAAGAAGAAGAAGAAGAAGAAGAAGAAGAAGAAGAAGAAGAAGAAGAAGAAGAAGAAGAAGAAGAAGAAGAAGAAGAAGAAGAAGAAGAAGAAGAAGAAGAAGAAGAAGAAGAAGAAGAAGAAGAAGAAGAAGAAGAAGAAGAAGAAGAAGAAGAAGAAGAAGAAGAAGAAGAAGAAGAAGAAGAAGAAGAAGAAGAAGAAGAAGAAGAAGAAGAAGAAGAAGAAGAAGAAGAAGAAGAAGAAGAAGAAGAAGAAGAAGAAGAAGAAGAAGAAGAAGAAGAAGAAGAAGAAGAAGAAGAAGAAGAAGAAGAAGAAGAAGAAGAAGAAGAAGAAGAAGAAGAAGAAGAAGAAGAAGAAGAAGAAGAAGAAGAAGAAGAAGAAGAAGAAGAAGAAGAAGAAGAAGAAGAAGAAGAAGAAGAAGAAGAAGAAGAAGAAGAAGAAGAAGAAGAAGAAGAAGAAGAAGAAGAAGAAGAAGAAGAAGAAGAAGAAGAAGAAGAAGAAGAAGAAGAAGAAGAAGAAGAAGTAGAAGAAGAAGAAGATGATGATGATGAAGAAGATGAAGAAGATGAAGAAGATGAAGATGATGATGATGATGATGATGATGACGAAAGTAATCGTTACATAACAATGCGTACGTTTTCATGACTTTCCAATGAGTGCTGATTATTTTTTGGAATGTACAGATCCTAATCCAGCGATAAAATCGGCAACGGCTGATTACTACTTAGTCTAATTAATCGATGGACTGTCCCGTTTTAAGAGCTAATCATACATTTGATTGAAAAATCGCGTAAGCCTAATGGTTTAAGAAATTATTACTACTTGCAAATGAACATATTGGCATTGCGTAAACACGAGTCTCTACGCGCATTATCCGTTCATTGAAAAGTTTGTTTCGAATCGAGAAACGATAGATGCATGGCCGCTCCAATCTTAAATACGAGCTACAGTTGATGGCAAGTTAGCCTCCGCTGACCCCCGCGACGCCGTCGAGAGCTTCCTCGCTCTCTCCCTTTCTCTCTCTCTCTCTCTCTCTGTCTCTCTCTCTCTCTCTATCTATCTCTCTCTCTTTCTCTATCTCTCTCTATCTATCTATCTATCTCACTGTCTCGCTGTTTCTCTATTTCTTATATCACTACCGTAGACCAACACATACATAGATCCGTTTCCGGTCTCATCGCGAGCGGTGCAAGACAAGAAGACAAAAAGAGTGTGCGCGCACACACAACACTGAAAGAGAGAGAGAGAGAGAGAGAGAGAAAGACAGAGAGACAAGGGGGGCCGTGCATGCATATGCGATTATCGCGGCATACAAGAGGTTCTCGACCGGGATAATTCAGCCTCTGAGAGAGAGAGAGAGACAGAGAGACAAGGGGGGCCGTGCATGCATATGCGATTATCGCGGCATACAAGAGGTTCTCGACCGGGATAATTCAGCCTCTACCGGGGAAATTACGGTGAAATTAGAGGGAAGGCGTTATTGTTTTGCCCGCACTTCTGTTTGCTAAAGCCAGTAGATAAACGCTGTCTGATAAGGGATAACCCTTTGTTTGCCGTAGGCGGTCGCGTGTGCCAACTGCGGCTGAAAAACACTTTGTGCGCCTTGATTGTTTATTTACGGTGATGGTTGGTGCTTCTGTCGCCTCGAGCCATTATGCATACGATTTTTCGTCCGTTCCATTGCATCTCAATTAGCGTACTTTTATCGATTTATTTATTTACGCATCCTCGACGCGTTTACCGTCGCTAATTCCCGTCGGTTTTGCCTACACTGGAAATCATTGCCGCCCCGCTGTTCTTTCACGACACTTTTGTGTCAATGTTACGATAAACGCTAGTCTTGGCTATTTATACTCGAATGTGACATTGTTACTGCAGATGAAACGAAGCTAATTATGACAGTTATATGAGAACGTTACGAGTTGCAAATACAAAAGGAAGATAAACGATTATCGTTTCGTTATTTAGCAGCATTTCGTTATTTATTTACGTATGAATAATAATTTGTCGTTTTAAATCATCTTTTCTCCTCGAATGCAAAGAGGCAGACTCTTTACATGATATTTGTCATTAATATTACCGGGACGAGAGAAAATACATAGACACGAGATGAATTTATTGGGAATAAATAGACAAATAAAGTCCTTTTAATAGTGTTCCAATCTAAAAAAAAAAAAAAAGGAAAAGAAAAAAAAGCTGACTTATCGTCAGATGTAATTTTAATGTAGATAAATGTATCGAATGTACCTATCCTATAAATAACCGCGCTTTGTTGAAAAATCTGTCGTTTGACAGGATGCCGGGCAATTAAAGCAAATAACAATATTGGCTAAGAAACAGTCATTTGGTAAAACGACGCGAAATATTTCCAGAGTTTGAGAGCAATTTTTTGAATAGCGCTCAGCCGCTGCCGAGATAAGCATTCCCGCGTATCCCTCGTGTTTCCACACATGTATACACGGTGTCGCGTCGCGCGAAAACGCGATAAATCAGTCGCCAATCCGAATAGAATTTACAAAGAGCGCGAAAAAGGAAAGGCAAGTAGCCCTGAAGCGGTCGCGGCGACGGCTTGAATTTTCAATAGTGCGCGCTCCTATGAAATTTCCCAGGCGCTCGGCCAAGCTCGGTCAATAATTCTCGGGTTCCCGAAGAAAGCACAGCTCTGGTAAATCAAAAGCCGCCTCTTGCGAATCGACGACGATATCCGACGAGACGCAGGTCTTCCTTGCGCAACACGTCCATCTCGTTTTCTCTTACTCGTATTTGCTAGTTACTTCTTCCAGCTTCTCGCTAACAAAGAGCTGTGGAAGAGCTGTGGAACTCTCTTATGAGTGGGGAAGGAGGTGGGTGAAGGTGTGTAGTAGTAGTAGTAGTAGTAGTAGTAGTAGTAGTAGTAGTAGTAGTAGTTTTGGATTTGCGATGTTTAGTCTCGACGGTGCGGATCGGAATTTTAGTTATGCACTCCAGAGTGCATCGGTAAATGGATTTATGGCTGAGTAAATCGTTTGTTGCTCCTACGTGTTGCTTTTAGCTCGATTTCACAATGAAAGGACTTGGACTAACTTATCCCCTAAATTCGCACACTTTGGCTCCTATGCTTTAAATCTCGAGCTCGAGGTTTTTTTCACAAGACCCTTTACGTAGTTTTGGAATGTGCAAACTAACTGTAGAAGGTTTCTTGCTTTTTTAAAAGCTTTGCGACCAAAAATTCAGAAGGCAGTATTAAAGTAGTTGCTTGAATGTAGTAAATTAATGCCTAATTTAGAATACGGTTCTGCATTTTTCATAAATCGAAAGATTTTGTTAATCACAAGCAATTATTATATTTTAATTTTAGCATATGTACTTGAGAAATGCGGGGAAATTAAATTATCATTATCTCAGCTGAACGTGGAATGTTAATATGAAAAGGAATATGTCTTTCACTATTATGAGAAAATATTTAATTCGTATTTAAGTAAGTATTTAATCTGTTTTTTATGATTTTTCACGAGAGTATGAATTACAATTTACGAAAATTGTTGGATTTAGCGTTTAGACGTATGGTTACTACGATAAGGATATAACAACGAAAGTCATCGATCTTTTAAAGTCTATGTCAGCAAATCTTTTCTGCGAGCTTGCGCTATCTTCCGTATAATCGGCGAATTTTCGATCTGTTCGTTGG